TAGCTCAGGGCCTGTCAGGGCCTCTCAGCTCACCTTGGCCTTGTAGCTGGGCAGGTTACACAGCACGTCGGTCCGCAGGGCCTCCTCGCTCAGCATGCGGCAGCACAGGCTCCGCCACACCTCGCTGTTCTTGTCGCCGTGCAGGCAGCGGTGCCAGTGCTTACACACCAGGCCACAGCTGCGGAGGTCTGACAGCTCCAGGTAGGAGAACACCAGCTCGAGCACGCGGCCGGGCAGCCTCCCGGAGCCTGGCGGTGCTGGCGGAGGAGGGGGTGGTGGTGGTGGAAGAGGAGGAACAGCCGGTGCCGCCGGCGGAGCGGCAGCCGCCATCTCCCACGGATTCTCTGCTCGCCGGCGATTGCAGAGCCTGCCCACACAGCCCTCGTCGCACAGCCGCTTGACGTGAGCCTCGGCCCAATCAGAACACGGCTTTCAGTCACGTGGGCGGCGAAGCAGCCAATCGTCGGCCGGGCTCGGGAGGGTTTTCCGGGTTCTTTTCAGTTTGTCTACCATGACCGCACCAGCGCTTCGAAAACAAAGCCGCTGATTGGCTGGTTTTATCACCCACTGCTCAGAGTTCTAAGTAACAGAGACACAACTCTTCAATCCTGGTGTAAACCGTCTCTCACGATGACCACCTACCGTTTAGCACTCTTATCACTGCAGTGAGCTGGCCAAATGTCTACAAGCGGCCAATCACCATGGCAACCGGAGCCTTCTTGCTTGCTCCACATCGATCCCATAATACCCGCTCTTTACCACAACGCTTAATGTTTAATCCCTGGCTGTATTGACAGTTGGCAGACAGAAAATTACAATGCAGCCGTAGTATGTCTCTGGTGTGTATAGCTCTGTGTTTAACCCGTCCATAGAGACGGGGAGGGAAGGGGGGGCGAGTCACGTGAGCGAGTAACCTAAAGGAGAGGACATGCAGCTTGACGCATGCGCACGAGGACGTGCCCAATCGCCTCGCGCTCTGACGTCAGAGCTCATTGACCAACTGGCGATGTTGGAACGCGGCGAGCCATCAGCGCACCGAGACTGAAGGTAAGGAGACCGGAAGTGCCTTTACAGTCAGCCTTGGCAACGCGTGGTGAGGGAGGTCTGTCTCCGGGTAATGCAGGGCCAGTCTGTAACCAGGGCTTAGAGGGGAACTGGCAGAGCTATTTACTAAAGAGTGAAATGACAGCAATTCAGAGTGTCTAACTGGGGGGTTATTAGCTGAAATCCTTTAAAATTTTATGTTTTCAAGAATATTTAGTGTTCCTCTCCCTTCCCTTTCCCCTAGTGTACCTCTTCTCTCCCATCCCGGCCCCTTAATTTACCTCTCCCCTCCCTGTCCTTTAGTGTCCCCCCTGCATGTTCCGCCTTGTGGTTGAGCTGGCCCTGGGTCTCAGCCGTCTCGCAATATCGGTGTTAATAGTGGCCGATACCGATATTTACCAAAATCAATAATAATCGACGAAACCGATAATCGGTCTATCCCTAGATTGTAGTTTACTAGAATCAAAAATATAGGGATTAACTATGACTATTTTACTTTTTGGCCTATATTAAAAATATAAAAATGCATTATATATCATAATACTTTGCAATCAACATAGGTCTTAATTTAATATGGTTGATTATGATTTTTAAATGTGTGCGTTCATAGTAAAATATTTTTTTAAAAATCAGTATATCAAAATATTACAAAATTGAAGTAGTTTTCATAATATTATTCATCTTAAAAGTGTATCCAAATTTTTTAAAATCATTTAAAAAGCTTATTCAGCAATATTTGCTGACATTGTAGTGTAAAATAAGTATAGATTTAAATCTGCCATTATACATATATTCAAAGTATGGTTGATGAAGATTACATCATTACTCCACAATAATCATACATTTAAAATTGCAATGCTGTTTTCCAGTTGTCTCAAATTGGTATTAAATTGTGTTCTTGACATCTTCTTTTTGCAGATCTGTATGAACGTAGTAATGGCTGTGAAATGGGATTGTGCTCATTCGAATTCTGTGCTGAGTTTGGCTGTCAGCAAAGAAAAAGTGGTTTCATCTGGGGCAGAGGATGGGGAACTTGTTCTTTGGAATGAGGGAGGACTTCCGTTGGGAAAGTTACATCTTACTGGAGGTGGCGATGTGACCTGCATGGCTTTTTCTCCAGTTTGCTCAACTAGACTTTATGTCTCTCATGGGGACTCGCTTAGTGTTATGGATACTAGAGCATTTAAAGAACCAGTTGAGAATTTCAGAGTCAACAAAGAAGAAATCAACTGCATTTCCGTAAATGAATCTGACACCTTATTGGCAGCAGCTGATGATTCTGGAGCAGTTAAAGTGCTGGATCTGCAATCTAAGAAAGTCAGTAGGACACTGTCTAGACATACAAATATTTGCTCCTCCGTTTCATTTCGTCCCCATCGGCCACAGAACCTTTTGTCTTGTGGACTTGACATGCAGGTCAGTCAACAATACTGTATTTGTGGGGTTTTGTTATATCTAGTGCTGTAAAATATGTTGGCAACTTGTAAATAATTTTCAAATGTCAATAATCTTCTTGCATCAATGTATTTATGGTAAGCAACGTGCATGTTACATGTTCTTCTATTAGTGTTAGGATGATAATGGGATTCAAGGAATTAGTAATTAGTAAACCTATGACTAAATTTAATTGATGTAGAGATACAGTCAATAAAAAAAAATTAATAACATGGACTGTTATGCAGACTCAACAAGTTTTCATGTTGTTTGTCAGATGTTCTTGTAGTTAATTCTAGCACTAGTACACATATAATTATTATGCTTTTCTTTCTAGGTTATACACTGGAGCATGCAGAAAGCACGTCCGCTGTGGATAATTAATCTCCAGCAGTTGTCACATGAAAAAGGAGATAATCTAGCTACCCAGGGACAAATGTTAAATCCACCTTTGGCTCATTCATTGTCAGTGTCTGCTTGTGGGAACATATTTTGCTGTGGTGCTGAAGATGGTAATATCCAAATTTTTCAAGTTGCAGGGAATCAATTTGAGGAGGAATTGTGTTTTAAAAGTCACAGTCAAGGTGTGTCTCAGGTCAAATTTCTGGATGAGGAAGCCTATCCGAATATCTTACTATCTGGTGGTAATGATGGCAGAGTGTGCCTGTGGGACATTGAGCTAGCAAGGCAAAAGGAACCGAAAAGACCACTTGCAAAACCACACCAGAGAAAGTCTGGATCGTCCCACACCAAAGCCAAGCACATGGTCAGTCAAGTGACAGACACTGCCAGGGAAGTCATCCCAAAGCTATGTATTGAACATGAGGAAAAGGTGAACTGGATTATTGGAGCAGAGCTTGGTGGAATCAGAATGGTTCTAGTTGCTGATCCAAGCAATGCAATAACTCTGTATCCATTAGGAGAGCTATAAGGACATGTATTATTCTAATATGTTAGGCTCTTAACTGTATTTTCAATGCAAAAAGAGAGCAAATCTGTGTTTTGGAAAAGACCACTGAAGCATATAACTATATGTTGCTGTAATTCAGGGGTATTCAAATGCAGACCTCCAGCTGTTAACTGTGCATAGCTCTCTTCAACTTTTGACATAGAAACACAGCAAAGTGAATGGTTGGCAAAACAGCACGGAAGTTGTAGCCATTTAGCTGCTGGCATTTTATTGCCCCTTGAGGAGCTATGCTGTGCTTTACAAAACTTTGTGGTTCGTAGAGGAAAAATAACAAAATATACTGAGACAAGTGTAAGTTTTACAGGATGCTAAGAATTCTTATTTTTACTTGTCAATTAAATCTACAGAACTACTTTTTGAAGCTGCACTTTCTATTGCCTTGTAATGTATAAAACACTGACTTTTTGTTTTCATTTTTTTGCACTAAGCTATTTTGAGGGCTTGTAAAAACAAGACTATTTTGCTGTCGTATATAATTTACTGCAAACCAATTAGTTTGAATGACTATCTGTTCCTGTCCAAATTAAAGATAATAAAGTTGCGTGCACGCAGAAGTAAATTCACACTGAGACACAAAGTTCAGGTTAATGAAAGAACTCCGGAGAAGTTTAATGGCTTCTGACAGAAGATGGGTGCGCAGACCCTTTTAAAGGCATTATTACATCATTGAAGAAAATCAAGATATAGACAAATAGACATTGTTAATTGGCTTAGGTGCTAAGATGTTAGTAAAATGCCCTCCCTATGGGGTGTACCATCTTAAGTCACTATCTTCGTCATTTTTTAACTCCTCCAGGTTTTAGCGCCATTTTGCTAACATGAGGAGCTCACTCGACGGGAGGGGCCTTTTGGCAGCTGTCCATTTAGAGCGTAGCTGGCACTTGTTAGTTTCTCAAGGTTAGGTTTCAAGGCTTTTAGTAAATACACATTTTATCAAAGCTATTTCTTGCTGGCATGCAAATTCTATGTTCTATAGACAAAGCTTCCTTGTAAAACTATGGGGGCCTCTTAGAGGTATAGCAAGAGGATTTAAAGGAACCTTACAAATTTATAGAGGCCTAATAATTCTACAACAGTCCCCCCTAAAATGTTATTTGCTAAAAGACAAAACTTTATTTGTTAGTATCAGAAGAAGTATTAGCCCAAAGACACAGAAACCCCATGACCGCTGACTTAGTGTTAATGCAAAGTGCAAGTCTATCCCTCTCTTGACCCTAACAGGCTGCAGCACATCCGTCAGTACGGTTCAGGAACACTCTTCACTCCGCTGGTAACCCATAGTGGCTTATCCACTACTTCTCCGTACGGCAGTCTACCCATACTACTTCTCCCTGTACTGTCCCTTCCTAGACTTTCTGCACTTCATCAGTATACGGGAGAGTTTGTAGCGGAATACAGGGTGAGATGAGGTCTTGATCATCGATTGTCAGATGAGTGAAGGTTGGTGTTGCTTGGTTTACAGTTTTCTGCAGGAATTTCCTTAGGCATGGGAGGACACAACAAATGAGAAGAGCGAGAATAAAAAGAAAATTTAGTAAGGCAATACCAATCTGGACTAAAGCTCTCTGCCAACCAGTCATCCAACCAAACCATTTTTCCCAGGGATCAGTAACTCTAGAGTTTCTCTTTAACTCTTCTGAGAGTCTATTTAATTTAGCTATGGCCAGAGTGACTTTACCATTAGGACCTGTGTTTTCTGGAATGTAAGTGCAACAAGTCATAGTGTCAGGAAGTATTTTACAGACTCCCCCTTTTTCGGCTAAGATAATGTCTAAGGCCAGTCTGTTCTGGAAGGTCATTTGGGATGTGGCCTGTAATTGCTCGGCCAAGCCCTGGAGGGCATCCCTGGTGTAGTTCATGAAGCGCTGTTGGTTGTAATAGATATAATTAATCCAATTAAGGTTTTTGTTGGCAGTGACTATGGTAAAAAGTGATTCAAAACCTACAGCTACTTCATCTCTAGCTTTAAATTCATTAGGTACCCCCTAGGCACCCCAATGGCATCTATGTAAATGTGGGGGTCAAAACTGCCTTTTACTGGGGTTTCGCGCCTTACTCTGGCTGATGTATGTGGAGGGTCGTATGTGTCATGATGATTATCAGAAATAATATGAATGGGCATGATAACTTTGGCCAGGGTACACTCACCCCACCACTCGGTTTCCAGCCTAGATCTTAACTGTAGATCCCCACATAACCAGTAAATATCCCCCAATGACCTGGTATGGTGTTGCAACAGGCGTATAGGAACAGTTCTGTAAGTGGCGCAATAACCTTTAGAAAAGTTACCCATGAATTTACCAATCCCGTCATACATGGCATAACAAGTGTAATTACCTCTATAGACTGTGATTCCATCTGGTGGTTTAACATTTTCAACTAAGAGAGGGTATTCTGCCGTCCATGCCATGCAGAGGGACCTATTAAAGTCATATTGGTAGGCAAAAAGGCTTAAGAAGCAATCTTCTATCTCTAAAGGGAGAGTTAGTGGGACGGTGCCAAGGTGGGGTCGGGCACCGCCACATACATAACATGCTGTTTTATTATGTTTGTTAGCATTATACCTCATCCATTCTAACCACAGATTAATGTCATTGAATCCAGTTTCAGCGGCCATGGTATCTTCAAAAGTGGGGTTAGTGATGGCCATCATATCTTTAAAGGACTGGATATGTGGTTTTAGCGGATTTGGGACCATATGATCAGCCCCTTGCCACTCTGGAGAGTGGTACATATCTCTGAGGTAGAAATGACCTAATTTGTTGTAGGAACCTTTCTTCCAATACATTCCCATTACATGTCGGTCTGCATCCTCGGGGCCAGGATGTTCAATATTTAACATTAATTTCATAGGGGTACTTCCTCCAGGCTTTCTTAAAGTCATTCTTTGAAGGAGGGATCTACCCTGATTGTCTATCTTAGATAAAGCACTTTTGGGTTTATAACCCCAGGCAGTCCCAGTATTCCATCCCGCAGCCCCCCAGTAGTTACAGTCATAACCCCATTGTTCATCTACTACACAAACGTAAGGGTCTTTTGCTTGTGGTATATATTTATAAATGGCTTGAATCTGTGACTTAGGGAATGGGCACTCTACAATATCACAGTAATCAAAAGTGAATGTAGCCACATGGGTACATGATGAATTATACCAGAAAGTGTACCCACTAGCATCTTTGGTGATGGCCACCTGCTGGGCTTTAAGGAGGCCAACTAATGTACCAGAGGCACATGGTTGCATAGAGTTAGCTTCCTCTGGGGCAGGTGTCTTCTTGCAATGGGAAGCGTGGATCCAGTTAGGCCTTCCGGCCAATTTGACAGAGGTAGGGGAGATCAGGAGAACTTGGAGCGGTCCGTCAAATCTTGGTTCCAGGGTGTGTTTTCGCACAAATTTCTTGACCAGAACCCAGTCACCGGGGAGCAGACTGTGGTTGCCTGTGTCAGAATCAGGATCTGGAATTGAAGAGAAAACTTGGGCATGGATTTTGTTCAAAGCATTTGCGAGTTCAGTTACATAATCTACTAAAACATCAGTTTGAAGTTGTAGTTGTTGGGGAAAATAGCAACCTAGCCTAGGTGCAGTCCCAAATAGAATCTCATATGGGGACAATGAGGTAGTATTTTTGTACAAGAGCATTCATTAGATCTTTTGATAAATGTGCAGGTCTGTGTGCCCATTGTACGACTGCTGGGTACAAATTCTTAGGGAGGCAGAAATTGAGGTTGTTGGAGTACACTCCTTCAGAACTGCCCCTTTCTGTTTCCACTTCTGTATTTCTTCAGGGGCAACTGTAGCCTGTTGTTCCCGCAGGATTTTTAGATCAGTTGGAAGTGTCTGCAAGGTAAATGTGGGAGTTTCTTCGTTTCCGGACACACTTCTGTCCACTTCCTGTAGTTCTCTTGCAGCTTGTTTTGCAGCTTGATCAGCTAGATGGTGGCCCTTTGCTTCATCTGAGTCCAACTTCCCATGTGCTTTTATCTTCAAAATAGCCGCTTCTTTTGGGAGTAGGAGGGCGTCCATCAGCTCCTTGATTGCGGAACCATGCTTGATTGGTGTACCGGCGGTAGTAAGAAATCCTCTTGTTTTCCAAATTAATCTGAAGTCGTGAGCCACGCCCAGTGCATATCTTGAATCCGTGTAGATATTGGCGCGCTTTCCTTCAGAGATCTTGCATGATGAAGTCAGGGCTTGCAATTCAGCTTCTTGTGCAGACATTGTTGATGGTAAAGATGATGATTTGACAATTTCATCTGTTGTGGTTACGGCATATCCTGTATGGTATCTTCCTTCTTCATCAGCATATCTTGAGCCGTCCACAAACAGGGTGAGATCGGGATCTACCAATGGGTCTTCATGCACAGTTGGTAGATGTGTTGTTTCCATTTTCATCTGTTCAAAACAGTCATGAGGTGTATTTGGGTCGTAGTCATTCACTATGGTTACATGGTACAGAAGGCATATCCTGCTCCGTCATGAAGGAGTGCTTGTCCATCATGAAAGGATAGGTTGGGATGCATTTCCTTCTTGATGGTGCCAGTGAGAAGAAAAACATAAGTTTTGTCCATGATGAATCCGTAGTATACAGTTCGTCCATGATGAATCCGTAGTATACACCCCCCTCAGGGAGTGGCAGAAGAGTGGACGGATTGAGAACTTGACATCTTTGGAGGGTAATGTTGTCAGGCAACAAAAGATGACATTGAAGGCGAAGATGCCTAGCAGGAGTAACATGCTTAAGTTGGATCTGGTTGACTATGGCAGAAATGTCATGGGGGGCCAAGACAACCAGGGGGTGGCCAAGGACAAGATCTCCAGTTCTTTCAATGAGCTCTCTGGCAGCAAAGACGGCCCGAAGGCAAGAGGGACATCCTCTGGCCACAATATCCAGTTGGCAGGAGAAAAATCCAATAGGCCTTTGGCGGCCTCCAGGACCATGGGCCTGAGTGAGCACTCCTGTTGCATGGCCTTGTCTTTCAGAAACAAACAATTTGAAGGGTTTGGTATAGTCTGGTAGGCCAAGAGCAGGAGCAGAAGCAATAGCACGTTTGAGAGAACAGAAGTTGTCAAGGGCTTCTGTGGACAAGCAAAATGGGTCTGACTTGAGAGCATCATTAAGAGGTTGCATAAGGAGCGAGGCTTCTGGGATCCATGCTCGGCAATAGGAAATGAGGCCTAGGAAGGCGTGTAGTGACTTCGAGGTCCTTGGAGGTGGAATGTCCAGTACTGCTCTAACTCGGTCACGGCTAAGGTGTCTGGTTCCCTGAGACAGACAATGGCCAAGGAAGATAACAGTAGGTTGGCAGAATTGCAGCTTGAGACGTGAAGCTTCACATCCTTGTTCTGCTAGATAGTAAAGAAGATTAATTGAGCATTGTTCTGTTGTGGGTAGGTCATCTCCACAGTAAAATGGGAAGGGAACAAAGAACTGTAGTGTCTTTTCGTGACAAAGGTGTATTTAATTGAACCTGGCCGTCTGCAGTGAGGGTGATGGATGCTTGGAGGCGGGATAGGACATCAGCACCAACACAAGAGACATCGGTGACAGGCAGGAACGATGAGTCAGGCAGGTCTTGTTCTCTAGGAACACTGCGGGATGCACCTGTGTTAACCAGGAAAGTAGTAGGGTGACCTTCAATAGGTAAAGTTACAGTGGCTAGTGGCCCCCCTTGTTCCCTGTAGACACTGCCATGGCAGGGGCATTAAGCATCAGCGGGTTTGCTCTCCTCTGTATGGGCTGTGTTACTGACTCAAACCCCTTTCTATGTCATTAGCCATAGCTTTTTGCAGTCTGAACATGTCTATCATTATAAATAATGGTTAATAGTAAGTGAAGTAAAGTTTCTATATGTCTTTGGATAAAACATTAACTATTGCGGTACTATCATTTATATTAATTAGACTATAACAATTATACCACCCTGTAACTAAAATGAATAACCAGTAGTGGCTGGGTTAATAAAACATGTCACAAACCCTTCTAATGCTAAACCATCATTTAACGTATAGGATGTTACTGTAAACATACGATCTGTAACTAGCAAGATTCGATTAAGTAAAGATACAATGTTTAAAATAACTTGCATTATTTGGCTATTTCCCTTGTTGCAAGATTAATCTGGATAATCAGCTGTTATGCTCTTATATTCATGTCCAACAGATTTCATATGTAGGTCACACCACATTTGCAAATTACATTTTAGCAACCTTCTTTTTTTTTTTTTTTTTTATCACGGACAAATTTCTGATACAGGGAAACAAATGGCATGATTGTTTTAGTAATTATAATGTTTCAGTTCATAATATGTAGAGTGTAAGGAAAACCACATGTCTCTAAATGGGACGAGCATAATAGGGGTAGGCCTCATGATGGAGGCAGCCATGACAGGGGCGGGGAAGGAAATGACAGCAAGGGAGGAAGTGAGAGGGGTGACGTCCATGATATGTGTGGGAAAGGAAGACAGGAGGTGTGGGCATGGTAAGGGCGGAAGTGACGTCACTTTAGAAGCAACCGTGACTGTAGATAGGTCACGGGACTGGCAGGGTCAACCTCCTTCTGTACTATGCACCATCTTTAGGGTGGTGGCTGACGCACTTTCAACAATACACTATATTATAACTATTAAAATAAGTCAGAGAAGCAACATTCTGTTCTGCAAAATGAAATACTAAACTATGAACAGACCTGGCAGGTTGAATAAGACAGTTGAGAACATTATGCATTTAACAGCCCATAAAGCTGTTTCTAGAAACATGTTCTTTAAAATGATGCAAGATAAACTCACGGAATTCAACCAATTTCCCTTATCATCCTCTAGCCATTAATCACTTTCCTCTTCACATACTAGCTTAACTCCGCATATTCCCTCTATCCACATTGCATAGTTCTGCAACAAATCACGCTTGCCTATACACTTAACACGTCCAAATATTCCACTATTCTTGTATCAGATTCACTTACCTCCGTAAATCAACACTGAGCTACATTCCTGTGTCTCCCCCACAATCCTCACTACTTTATCACAAAACTCAATCTATACATACACACACACATATATATATATATATATATATATATATATACACACACATATATATATATACATATACAAACGGCAACAATAATAATATTATTACACAACTATAACACCATAACCTCTGAATTAGAATATTTTCCAGCAAAAATCCTGTCTCTAACTCTTATCAGCAGCTCCGAAATGCAGAAGGCATGTACCTCCCCCATTCGGAGGCAAGTGGGGAGGAAAGGGGGGGGATGTGAGACAGTGCAAAAAAAAAAAGGGAGAGAAGCTGCAGGCATGAAGATTAACCATGTGAGTGCTGGAAAGTAACAAGACAGAAGGACAGAGACTTATACGTTTGGAAACCAGAAATCTTTGACGGGAGAAACGGACTGGAGGTGCAGGGAGCTGCAGAGAGAGGATAATGGTGACGAGATCTGTAGGACTGATGGGGGGGGGGGGAATAGGGATCCATCAGCATCCAGTAACACAATTATTATAATACACAAACAATCTTAAACCTTTGTGATCAATTTCTTCCTCAACCTATCCCTTTTGCTGAATAGCTCTTGCTACTCGGTACCAGGCTTCTGCTGTACAAACCAAATCTTGGTCCGACAGCTTCCCTTTCTTCTGTCAGTAACTTACGTCAGCTCTCTGGCTACAATCTGCCGCACAGAGGTACGGTAATTCCACATACTTTAGCAATCTTACTCACTTTCTTAACCATCTCTTCTCCTTCTCTGTCTTCCACTAGATCACATGCTAACCAACCCTTACTGGGTTTATCTAACTTCTGTCCCATCCTCCCCATACAAGGCGTCCCAGATATAGAGAGAGAAAGGAACAGAACGTCTACCGTGCTCGACTGCTACTTTAAGAGCAAGCTCTTTAAGTACGTCTTCCCAAAGCGTAGACTAGTCACTGATTCCGCCTACCCGTGGTAGCCGCGGATTGGAGCGTGGCGAGAAGTGTGTGACCAATCACTTCTCTCAACAAAGAGAAAGAGAAATAGGAGGGGGAAGTGTAAATAGTACAGTGAGTAAGATAGAAGTAAACACAGGAATCTGTGTGACAGACAATTAAGACAATAACATTTCAGTGTAAATACAGTGCATGCATCACAGTTCAAATAAGTTCAACAGTTTTATCCCTTGCCTTTTACTCGTGTGGCCAAAAGCCACCTCCCTCAACCTCGTAGTGTCCCTGTTGCGGACCCACCCGCAAGTCTCACTACCAGCAGCCACAGGAAACAGCAACAGCTTCCAACCCGAATCCTGTATAGCCTAAAGAATTGGAATCTTACCTGCCTCAGCGCTCGAGGCTGGAATTTTACCAAGAAGCTAAGCGGTCAAAATGACACTCTGGGGAACCCCCAGGAAGCAATGAGTCTACATCATCCTCCACAGATTCCCCCTACTCCTTTTCCTTACAGCCACAGCCACGTGGCTCCTAAAAGAGTTAAACAGGCAATAGAGGACCCCCAGGAAAACTTCCACAGGTCCACCCCCCTTTTTCCTTACTACCACAGGCATGTGGTACCTAAAAAGGGTTAAACAGGCACTTACACTCCCCGGGTACTAAGTTAAACACATACCAATACAAACACACCCAGGCAACAGATAGTCAACATGCAGGTAAACTAGGTATCATTAACAATACAAAGACTCTGGGCAAGTTATTACCTGACTTTGATGTCCTCTCGGCAGCAGTCACAGACACTGGGGCAGGTCAATCACAGGGGCAGGAACATACCGGCTAGGTGCTGCAGCAATCTCTACCGTGTACTCAGAGGTGATCAGGCTCTTTTCCTTCCCCCAGGATTCAGCCCCCCCAGCGTCTTCTTGGACAGCTGCCCAGACAGGACATAGCCCAGAGCCCCACGTTGGGCGCCAATTTGTCGTATATAATTTACTGCAAACCAATTAGTTTGAATGACTATCTGTTCCTGTCCAAATTAAAGATAATAAAATTGCGTGCACGCAGAAGTAAATTCACACTGAGACACAAAGTTCAGGTTAATGAAAGAACTCCAGAGAAGTTTAATGGCTTCTGGCAGAAAATGGGTGCGCAGACCCTTATAAAGGCATTATTACATCATTGAAGAAAATCAAGATATAGACAAATAGACATTGTTAATTGGCTTAGGTGCTAAGATGTTAGTAAAATGCCCTCCCCATTCTTAGGTCACTATCTACGTAATTTCTTAACTCCTACAGGTCTTAGCGCCATTTTGTTAAAATGAGGAGCTCACTCGACGGGAGGGGCCTTTTGGCAGCTATCCATTTGGAGCGTAGCTGGCACTTGTTAGTTTCTCAAGGTTAAGTTTCAAGGATTTTAGTAAATACACATTTTATCAAAGCTATTTCTTGCTGACATGCAAATTCTATGTTCTATAGACAAAGCTTCCTTGTAAAACTATGGGGGCCTCTTAGAGGTATAGCAAGAGGATTTAAAGGGGCCTTACAAATTTATAGAGGCCTAATAATTCTACAACATTGCCATAACCGGTCTTTAGAAATGTCTTTGAAAACCAGTTTTACTTGGTTTTATTTGGGGGTTCCTAACAATTATCTGTTAATATTTTGTGATAGCAAGCTTATTTGTGTGTATCTTTAATACCGGTCATGCAAATAATTTTCAGAAGAAGAAGAAAAAAAGACTGCTTTAGCCGTATTTTGCATGGATTGATTGCACATCTATACTGCTACTTAGTTTAACAGATGTCTAAAAAAAAAAAAGGTTAAACCTGTTATAACAGGTTTCCCTTTGGCTGTAACAGATAAAACCTGTTACACTCATTGATATGTTTTTTTTTTTTTTTGTAAGTTGTCCATCTTTCCTTACTTTTTAGATACTCTCAAAAAATGCTATTTTATGTTTGTATTAACATTTATTAATAACCCCCAGCATGCAACTGCTGTGTGCACATTCTACCTGACCACAAATGACATGATTGGTGCCACATACGTTCTAGCATGTTATGACAGCATAGCAGTAGTAAAGCCCAATATGTATAGGTTAAAGAAACACTTCAACCAACATAATGCGCCAGTTGTGTCCTGTTGATCTGTCAGAGTATGTTGTCAAACAGTTTAGAAATGGTTTGACAATTTACACTTGCACTGCTCACAACCTCTAGGATAGGTAGAAGCTCCTAGCTGAACTAGTAGAACACGTAACATGTGAAAGTCATTGTTAAATCTCAATATACAAGTAAAATAAGGTAAACACAACAGTTAAAAGCAAAACTTGGCTAAAACTGGTGATGAAAAGATTCGCAACGCTCCTTAATTAAAAGTTATTTGAAGACCATGTTCCATGGCTGCTATTTATTCCAAAAATGGTCCCTATAAATCAGCTGGTCAAAACTGGCATGTTGGGGGGGGTTCGGATGTGGACATGTCCTAGTACAGCTTCATATGGCTCCACAAACATAGTGAGTCACCCCAAAATGTCCACAGCCTCTCAAGCTTCAGGAAAATCTGGTGCTCTCACCAAATATTTCCGCAACAATGTGGACCAGCAATCGAGCCTGGTAGGTCCCAGTATGGCACTGGACTCACCAAGCAGCAGCTCGCTGCCTTCTAGTCCAGACACAGAACTGCGAGCCATACTCCATAACTTACCCTCAAAGCAGGACATTGCTAGCATGCTTGGGCGGTTGGAATTGTCTAGTACCGCCATACGCCACATAGAGATAGGGCAAGCTCCCTCGA